ACTTTGTAGCTATTAACAGCCAGTCCTTATTTTTTCCTCCTCCTCAGTCCTAAACAAGCAATAAACTACTTTCATTATTTTTATTTTATTTTATTTTGATACTTTCTCACTCTGTTGCCAAGGCCAAAATGCAGGGGCACAATCACGACTCACTGTAGCCTCAACCTCATGGGCTCAAATAATCCTACAACCTCAGCCTCCTGAACAACTGGGACTACAGGCATATGTCACCATGCCCAACTAATTTATCTATATTGTGAAGAGATGAGGGTCTCACTATGTCTCGAACTCTTGGTCTCAAGAGATCCACCTTCCACAGCCTCCCAAAGCAGTGTGATTACAGGCATGAGCCACTGCACTTGGTCCTATTTCTATATATATAAATTTACCTATTTTCTACGTTTCATATAAATTGAATCATACAATAAGTGCTTTTATGTCTTTCATGGAACTTAATGTCTTCAAGGTTATCCATGGATGAATCAATACTTCATCTCTTTTTATGGTAGAAAGATATTTCTTTGTATGTTTATGCCACATTTTGCTTATTCATTTTTCAGTTCAGTGACATTTGAGTTCCGACTTTTTAGATATTACCAATATGCTATTAATATTGATGTACAGTATATTTTATGTGAACTTATGTTATCATTCCTCTTGAATGTGTGTATGTGTGTGTGTGTGTGTGTGTGTGTGTGTGTGTGTGTGTATATATATGTCATATATACATGATGTTGGCTTACCAAGTCGTCTGGTAAGTCTATGTTTAACTTTTTGTTACTGCCAATCTGTTTTCGAAGCAACTGCATTATTTTGCATTCTCACCAGCAATGTATGAGGATTCCAATTTTTCCAGATCCTTGCCAATACTTGTTATTTTTGAATATAGCAATCCTAGTGTGTGTGAAGTAGTGTTTCAGTGTGATTTTGATTTGCATTTCTCTAATCATGTATTATATTGAACATCTTTCCTTGTGCTTGTTTATCATTTGAACATCTTCTTTGGAGAAATGACTGTTCAAATATTTTGGCAGCTTTTAAATTGGGTTATTTGACTTTCTAGTATTGAGTTTTGTTTCATGTATTATGGATGTAAGTCCTTTATTAGATATATGATTTTCAATTATTTTCTCCCATTTGTATGAGATGTCATTTCACTTTTTGATGGTATTATTTGCATCATAAACATTTTAAGTTTTTATATAGTTCAATTTATATTTTGTTCTTGTATTGCTTTTAATTTTAGTGGCTATAACTATGAGGACTTCGCCTTACCCAAGGTCACAAACATTTGCTTTAAGTAACCTTGTACAAATTTTGAGTTTTGACTCTTGCATTTACATTGGTCATTTATTTTGATTTAATTTGTATGTATGGGTTGAGGTAGGGACCTGACTATTCCTTCACATGTGGGTATATAGTTGTCCTGGCATTATTTGTTAAATTCTTTTCCTACTGCATTGTTTTGTCATGTCTTTTAAGATGAATTGAATAAATGTAAGGCTTTATTTCTGAAATTTCAGTTTTATTCCACTGATCCATATATCAATTCACATGTCAATACCATACTATCTAATAAAGACTTTAGTGTAGTAAGCTTTGAAATTAAGAAGTGTGTGAACGGCCGGGCGCGGTGGCTCAAGCCTGTAATCCCAGCACTTTGGGAGGCCGAGGCGGGTGGATCACCAGGTCAAGAGATCGAGACCATCCCGGTCAACATAGTGAAACCCCGTCTCTACTAAAAATACAAAAAAAATTAGCTGGGCATGGTAGCACGTGCCTGTAATCCCAGCTACTCAGGAGGCTGAGACAGGAGAATTGCCTGAACTCAGGAGGCGGAGGTTGCGGTGAGCCGAGATCGCACCATTGCACTCCAGCCTGGGTAACAAGAGCGAAACTCCGTCTCAAAAAAAAAAAAAAAAAAAAAAAAAAAAAAAAAAAAAGTGTGTGAACTCCAAATTTCTTCTTTTTAAAGACTATTTTGGCTAATCTTGTTTTCTTGAATTTACGTGTACATTTTAAGGCCAACTCTTCAATTTTCATGAAAAGCTATTAGGAATTTTGGTAGTGATTGCATTGATCCTGCAAAATAATGTCTGAATTATTGCCACCTTAACAATATTGTCTTCTGGTCTATAAGCATAAGGTGTATTTCAGTTTATTTCGTTCATTTTAATTTTTTTCAGCAATGTTTTATAATGTTCAGTGTATAGCTCTTACACTTTTTTAAACTTTATATCTAAATTTATTCCTAAATATTTCAGTTTTGAAACTCTTGTAAAAGAAATTATTTTTCCTGCTTCATTTTCAGATTTTTTATTGCTAATTAAAAAATGTAATTGATTTTTAATACTGACTTGAAGTCATTTATTGGTTCTAAAGTTTTTTAGTGGATTCCTTAGAATTTTCTATATATGTGATTATATCATTTGCAAGTGACACACAAAGCATCTATAAAGATAGTTTTACTTCTTTCTTTCCAATTTGGGTATGCTTTCTTTCTTTTCCCTGATTAATTTCCCTGGCTAGATTCACCAGTATGATGTTAAATAGATGAGGCTAGAGCAGACATCTTTGGTTGGCTTCTATTTTAGGAGGAAAGCATTCAGTCTCTCGCAGTTAAATAAGATGTTAGTTACAGGAGGTTTTTGTAGATGTCCTTTATGAAGTCGACGAAATTCCTTTCTATTCTTAATTTACTTAGAATTTTTATCAAGAAAGTACATTGGTTTTTGTCAAATGATTTTTTCCTGCATCTACTGAGATAATCATGTATTTTTGTCTTTTATTGTATTAATATGATATGTTAAATTAATTCATTTCATTGTGTTAAACTAATCTTGCATTCCTGGAATAATTCTACTTGATTGTGGTATATGATAAATTTGTAAATGTGGTTGGATTTGGTTTGCTAGTATTTTGTTGAGGTTTTTTTGTATTGATATTCATAAAATATATTATTCTATATATCTGTGATATATTTGGTTTTGGTATCAAGATAATGCTGGCCTCATTGGATAATTTGGGAAGTGTTTTCTCACATTGCTTTATAAGAGTTTATGATGAGTTCCATTGATTCTTTGAATGTTTGGTCTAGTGAAGCCATCTGGACCTGGGCTTTTTCTGTGTGTGAAAGCTGTTTTAATTACCAATTTTGTCTTCTTACTTGTGATAGGCCTATAAAAATATTTTTATTTTTGTCAGCCAATATCAGTAATTTAAGTCTTTTTATGAATTGTTAATTTTATATTATTAATTCTAATTTGTTAATATCACTTGTTTATTTTTTTGTGATTTTTTAATTTTAATTTTTGTAAGGTCACTAATGTTCTTTCTTTTATTCCTAATTTTAGTAATTTGAGTCTTTGCTCTTATTATATTGTATGTAAGTAGAGCTTAAACTTTGTCATTTAAAAAGTTGTTTTCAAAGACTGCTTTCTGGTTTTGCTGATTTTGTCCATTGTTTCCTACTCTCATTTGTTTCTCCTCATTTTTTACATATTCTCTCCCTTCTACTTGATTTTAGTTTAATCTTTTTCTGGTTACTGGGTAATTGTACTAGTGGATAGAATCAGAATTTGAGTTTTCAGCTTAGGAAAGGTGGGTTATTCTCTCAGGATTTAGGGGATAGGTCAGGAAGAGGCATATGAAATTATGTTTTTAGCTGTTTGGCCTAACATGTGATTTCCTATATATAGTTGTTTGAATATGTTGCTTTAGCCACCACTACTTACAAGGACTACTGTATGTTAGAAAAATAAATAAAAAACAAAACTAACAAAAAGCACCAAGGGACTTAATTTTGGTTTTGCAGTGAGCTCAATCTGCTGGGGTTGCTGTTCAAATAAACTCTTGCTATTTCATTGCACAATGATTTTTCTCAGATTAATCACCCTCTTGTGCTGTATACTGGTGTTAATGGTTATGTTACGTTACTTCAAATTATGTCACAGAGTCTAAATAAGAAGTGTGGGTGTATGTGTGTGTATGTTTGTGTGTGTTTGCAAGCAGGAAGCCCTTTCATGTTTCAGCCATGTAAGATTAATTATTATCTCATTCCAAACTTATTTCTTACTCCTATTATCCACAAAAACTCTTTGTCCTTTGCTGTACTTCCCAGCAAAATGGCTTTTGGCCTGCTCCACTCCAACCTATGTCAAATTATATTTTTTCCTGGAATCTATTTCAACAGTAGGTGATATTTTCTCTGAATTCCTACAGTGTTTTGCATATTTTTTATCATGGTCCTCAAAATGACAAGAGCTACTATTTACTGAGTGTTCATTATATGACAAATAGTGGATTCCATCCTTTAAATGTATCATTTCATTTAATTCTTACACTTCTGTGAGGTGGGCTCTGTATTTTACAGGAGAGAAAAACTGAAATTTAGAGAAGTTAAAGTGATTTGCACAAAATATGCTGCTTCCAAGTAGAAGATCTAAATTTCACATAGATAATTTCTAGAGCTCATATTTTTAATCTTTACCACTTGTTGTTCTTTAGACCAATGCCGATAGCATAATAAATGTGTTTTCTTTCCTAGGATATCCAATAACCTAGGATAACTCTGTGTTATTTCTTTCATTTCTCAAATTACAACTTCTAGGGCCCAGCAACTCAATATTGTTTGGATGAATTAATAAATATCTAGAATTAAATTATCACAATAAAAATGTACCAGGCGTTAAAATTTATTTTAAAATAATTTAAGAAAGTTGTACTGATGGCTACAAATAAGTCATTGTAAAAACTTAAAAGATGAAATTTATGGGTAAGAATGATTTATTCAATATTAACTATGACAAATATCTTCTGTTTCTTCAAGTTCTGTAGGTAAGTAATGCATAAAATAGTAAAATATTCATTCATGAATTTTTGAAGTTTCCTATCTACACAATTCGGTTGAGGTTATCAAAACATGTTTTTAATCAACTTTATGTATTAAATGCAAATTAGTTTATTAATCTCGTGGGATTTTGTTGTTGTTTTGTTTCCAGGATGGCGTAGGGGTAGATGAGAAGCTGTCTTTACGACGGGTAGCTGTGGTTGAAGATTTCTTTGACATTATTTATTCGATGCATGTGGAAACGGGGCCAAATGGAGAACAAATTCGAAAACATGCTGGACAAAAGAGAACTTACAAAGCAGTAAGTTAAAAAACAAAAAAAAAGAACATGCATTTTGAAATTCGATATTATGTATCCTTGTTAAAATGGGTTTGATAATTATAAATATTCTATCCTCAACATAAATTAGATCGTATGATGGTCATGTGCAACACTTAAACGATAAGTATTTTGGCTGTGCGTTCTCTAGTCTATTTCATAGTTTATAGCTGTCTCTAGACTAATTTTCATATTGTTACCTTTAAATACGTATAATATGTGGTAGTCCCAGTCAAATGCTCACAAATGGAAAGATGTATTTGTATTATATATTCAGTGTGTCATAGCATGTGAATTATGCACTGGAACCATAAGAACTTTAAGACTACCACAACTGTCAACATTTATCTATGTTTAAGTATTTTCTAGTTCATAATAATAATAAAAGAATAAGAACATTTTATGTACTTTTCTTATGTCATCTTATATTCAATGTATTTGTCCTGAAGGGTATGTATTTCTTAATTTCTAAGATAAGCTATTAAAAGATATGTGCTATTTTAATAGATTGAATGCCCTTGAAAGTTTAAAAATGGAAGTACATGATGTATTTGTCATACATTTTTGTAAAAAGCAGATTTAAGTAACTGTTAGATATTGAAATATATATTGTCAAAATGAAGTAATGTATTATTTCTAAAATTTCTAATTATACCTACAGTTTGATCTAGACACTTTAATCTAGGTTTTTATTTAATTAAAAACGTTATAAAATAATATTACTATAGATATGTCATCCTATCTAGGAAAATCGAATAGTAAATTGTTCTTCTCCTATATGAACAAACTGTATATCCGAATTAATTTGTCAGCAATGAGAATAATATCCTTTTTGAGAATTCTTACTGAATTTTGCTTTTGGCTACCTTTATATTAACTGTTTTCAGCTATATTGATATACAATATCAGTCTGGATCCATTTTTTTTTCAGATACAGAAAAATGTGTGAAATGCTCAAAGTTTCAAATACAGGTACATATGTTTGAAAATTAGCTACTGAGCATAAGAAATAGCTTCTTTTTCATAACTATTTTTTGCTATATTGCCAGGGTCATATTGAATCTTTGTAGTTGCATAATAACCCCTAATACATGTATTTATCCCTCCTTCTCTATGGTTTTGTTTCTTGGCTGTTTCCAAATTGCATGGTTTGTGGGCAGGCACTATTGTAAGTTTCCTTACATAATTCTGCCACATAAACTTTCTTTTGACTTACACATTCCAGGAGACATTCTTATTATGACTAATGATAATGACCTAGCTTCTTGAGATATTTTTATATAAACTAACATTACTGAATATACTCATTTTGCCTGTCTCCTAAACCAGGATTATTCCTCTGGACAGTAACAGGAAAAAAAGAAATGTATGTTGATCTACTAATATCACTAACTGTGTAATCTTATAATAATGTATTTTCATGAAATAGCTACCTGAACTTGATAGGACTTTACAGAAGGACTTTGCTAGGGATGCATAATTTCAATTGTATTAAATGAACAAAAACAAAAACCAAAGCAACAAGCAAATGTCAAGTGATTTCACTGACAATAGTAGTGTGGCAGCCAAATCTGTTTAGGTGCCAAAAGCAATTTAAAATGATTTAATTTTTAAAATGCATTTATTATAGACCTTTAATCAAAATACAGAATGAGTCAATGATTTAAATCCAAATCACTCGCCCCATGTTTTGTTAAATAAAGTGTAGAAAATCTGATCCATTGCCATTATGCATGCTAAAAACTTGCAATAAATTGGTAAACATGTTTCCAGTATACATAATTTTGAATTAAAATTAGGAAGACATTTTCTACATTTTGGGGTAGGGATACCAACTTTGAAAGTATACACAGAATCTGAAACCTCATCTAATCCCTCTTGAGAATGTCCTATTGATTATCCTCTCCTTTCCCAAGTTTTTTTAATTTCCATATCTAAAGTGTTGTCACCTTTTCCTAATACCATGAAGGTTCTTTGTGGCCTAAACTTTTTTCCTTTGCTCTCTCTCAATTGAATTTTAATTGGGAAACATTTCCTTTTTATGCTATAATCATTTATTGTAGGAAAGAAACAAAATACAGAACTGCTTGCAATGCCAGTGAAACTGTGCATATGACTCTACAATGAATTTAAGTCTAATGCTAAAATTTGATGTTAAGTGTTCAATTAATGGGGCATAAAGCTAAAATGTAATTTGAAATAGAATGGTTTAGTGCTATTAAGGCCATAGACTATTGGGCCGACTTCAATTCTTAATACTAATGCTGAATTTGGCTAGACATAGGTAGGATTAGCTAGATGCCTATTGCAATTATACTGGTTCCCATTAAGTTTAAGATTTCTTTCTAATTCTTAAACATTAGCTTAAAGAGCATGCATGATGATTATGTTTATTGACCTTCTTTTTCTCCTTTTAACTACATGGCCAAGAAACCATACTTATACAACTAATCATTAAAGTGTTTCATATTGTCTTAACAATATTATCAATAGATCTAGTCGTCATTTTATTTACTTTGCCTTTTTGCAAATCTTTCTATGTTTTCACTCTGCAGGAAATGGTGGTCCTTTAATATTGGATTAACTTTTGAATGCATTTGGTTTTTCTATATGCAGTATATCATTCCTTGAAATATCTAGGCATTTATACAACTTAAACTTTATTGCAATCTGATTTGACTTTAGATAAAATTGGAGGATATGTATTTTATTACTCATGAGCTCTTGAAAATCCACACAAAATGACACATTTTAGGAATATGTAAAGGCTATCATCATTATTTTTTCAATCATTATTGAATTATGATATCTGTTAGGTCTTTTTACTGCATTTGTATTTGTGTACATTAGTTACTGTTACTGGTACATTGTATGTGTTTCTTTCAACATATTTGTCTGTAGTCAACTCTTTGTTATCTACATGAACAAAATGGAGAAGAAGTATGGACTATTCAATATTACTCATGTTTGAACTTAAAATATGTCCTTTTCCTAAAAATTGAATGCAGTTGTGGTTAGCAATTTGGAAAGTCACTTCAAAATTAATGTTGTGACATTATAAAAATAACTTTGGATTGTGTTTTGTCTTTCAGTGTTTAACTCTTCTCAAATTCTGCCAAAACTTTACCTTCCATGAATACATCACTGTTTTCTGGTTTTATTTTATCAATTTTATTATATCACAGGGTAAGCGAGTTCAGACACATTTCTTAAATTAGGGTCTAATCAAGGGGTTAAGTTTCAAAACTCTTTCTTGCTACGTGTAAAATAAGATTAACTGGTGGAAATCCAAGAACTAAGAGGGAAAGTCAGTGTTATCAATACAGAAAACAGTCTGCATATATCTGTGTACACACACATATACACACACAACTCATAGTGTGATGTTGTAAACTTACATGTATTACTCATATATATAAAACTGCCAATAATTACATTCAAGTCAGGAGTGGAGAACATATGCTATAGCTAAAAGGAAATAGGCTGGAAGCCAGACAAACGCAGTTTCAAATTTCAAATCTAACACTCATTTTGTATCTGTACCACTTTTGGCAAATTATTTACTCTTTTTCTTTATATGGTGGATAATGATATACATTGTGTGCTAAAACGAATGAGTTACTATGTGTAAAGTGCTCGGCATATAGTAAACTTGTGAATGGTGTTATTTCTCTCATTCTTTATCCAGTCACTATTCATGTTCCATGTAGAAGGACAGGCAGCAAAATTAACATAGCTCTATCATTTACTCTAATTATAATTATGGATCTAATTTCCTATTCCCTCTCTGATGCCTCTGTGTTGGTAGATAGCAACAGTAATAATTTTTCATGCATGCTTTTTTTGGTGCATCCTGTAGATGTCACTATCCCTGGAAGTTCAACATTTGGGTTTATTTTATTTTATTTTATTTTATTTTATTTTATTGCATTTTAGGTTTGGGGGTACATGTGAAGAACATGCAAGATTGGGGTCAGTTGGGGGAAATGGGGGAGGGACACCATATGGGTTTAAAGAAAGCATGAGGAAAGGCCAGAGCTCCTGTGTTTAGGAGCTCTTCTGCCAGATGAAATTCGTGAGAGTTCCAGTTATTTCATTTGCTTTTCCCAAGATTAAATATGTTAAACTATTTCAAATTAATTTTCTGGAAAAAAATAAAATTGGATCTTTTTTAAAAAACAGTATTTTAATATGAATGGAACATTCCTTTCTAGAGTGTAGAACAGTAACATATTCATGTAGAATCTCTATAGCCCTACTCTAAAGATTAACAAAGAAAATCTTTATTCTATCACATCTAGGACACTTAACCTTAAAACTCTAGTTAGCATTATTATTATTATTTTTTGCCTAGTTCTTTCTATAAATACCTATTGGCTCACTGTCTTTATTACTAACTAGAATATTCTAACTTGTACCAGTTTCTGCTAGTTTGTTATGTAAAAATTCCCAGAATTTTTGTCAACTTATAATGAGACCAGTGAACCAAATTTGCAGCCATTATGTTGTGGAAAAATAGCACTGGAGTAAAATTCAAGAGGTCTGAGCTATTCATTTAACCTCTTTGTGCATAAGCCACAGTTCGCTCACATATATGATATAATTCTATAAGACGGGTTTGTAGAGTGTGCAGATTTTAACAGTGTTGAAATAGGGATTTATCTACATGCTTTTGTATATTTTCCTTCTGTGTCATAGTGCCTCAAGTTTTACAATTAGAACTCAATCTATTTGGGTTAAACCATTGACCCCTGTATCTTTATATAAAATCTAAATAGTATTATGCAAGAGAATTTAGAAAATTAATTAAGCTTCTAGGAGTCATTAATACTGTATATGATCATTTAACATACTTGTTTCTGTCTCTCATCTCTAGCTGAATTTAAATCAAGCCAAGAGTGAGATAGAAAATGTGAGTCATTGGCATAGAGTAATCTATTGACTTCCCAATTAGCATAGGACCTTCCTGTTTTCTCTCTCTC